AGCAGTATTTATAAACTGATTATTTCTATAATATGTGATTTTAAGTCAGTAACTAAATTAATAAATTATAATAATTAGAATCAAATAGAAATTCTACAAATAAAAAATACATGATAACTAAAATTAAGAACCTATCAATAGATCAGCAAAACTGATAAAATAATTTCCAAAGTGGAAGACAGGTCCAAAAAAAATCGCCAGCCTGAAACACAGAGAGCAAAAAGTATAACAGTGTAAGAGGGGCTGGCCTGGTGGCGCACTGGAGAGTGCGCCGCTTGGGAGCGCGGCGGCGCTCCCACCGAGGGTTCGGATCCCATGTGGAGACCGGTTCCTGCTCACTGGCTGAGCGCGGTGCGGGCGCAACACTGAGGGTTGCGATCCCGTTGCCGGTCCCCGGTCCGGTACGGGGGCAACACTGAGGGTTGCGATCCGTTGCCAGACACGGAAAAAAGACAAAAAGATAAAAAAGTAAAACTTGCTACAACATGGATGAACCCTGAAGATATGCTAAGTCACAAAGGGACAAATACTGTAGGATTCCACTTATGAGGTACCTAAATAGTCAACTTCATGGAGTAAGAAAGGGGAATGGTGGTTGCCAGGGGCTGGGGGAATTAGAAAAGTAAAACTTGCTACAACATGGATGAACCCTGAAGATATGCTAAGTCACAAAGGGACAAATACTGTAGGATTCCACTTATGAGGTTCCTAAATAGTCAACTTCATGGAGTAAGAAAGGGGAATGGTGGTTGCCAGGGGCTGGGGGAATGTGAAATTGTTGTTTAATGGGTAAAGAGTTTTAGTCTCACAAATGAAAAGAGGTCTGGTGATTGGTTGCACAATGATGTGAATGTGCTTAATGCTACTGAACTATACATTTAAAAATGATTAAGATGGCAAATTTAATGGTATATATATTTTACCACAATTAAAAACTTTTTAAAAAAAGAAGATAAAACTCAAATGTTAATGCATCTCAAATGTTAAATTGCTAAACTGTGTGGTACTCATTACAAAACAGTAATTCAGAAGGGATAAAAAATCATCTTGACTAAAACAATCCACTTTCCTGATTCAGTTCAGTTTAACAACCTTTTATTAGGCCTCTACAATGTCCCAGACACCATTACTAGGCCATTAGGATATTAAAGATGAGTATAATGCAGGCAGCTTATAGGTGACAGAAAACAACAAAGTAAACAGAAAATCAGAAAGCCTATAGTAGGTGCTGTGATAGAATTATGCAGTGTTGTGGAAGCATGGCATGAAAGAAGAATAACTGAGGACATGGTAGGAATTTGGGGGATGACAAAGTTACACCTCAGCTGAGTATTTATCCAGCCCATCCAGTAAGAATACTTACATTAAAATATTTTTCTTTTGTTTCCTTGACCCTCTGGGGGTAGGGAGAGTCAATGGATAGACTCTTAGGTTTCCATATTGAGTTTTCAGAAAAATGTACTAAAGGACCTTTAAGATTTCGCCTCACTCTAAACAATTATGAGTTCTATTCAAAGAAGAAGCTAAGACAGACATACTTTTCTTGATCATAGGAACTGTTTGTGACTTCGTTTTACTATGTAACATTAAATACAGCTCCTACATGAAATAGATAAAATTACAAGAAAGAGTATAGATTCAAATCTTATAGCTATATAGGAAATTAAATAGCTCCTCTTTTAAAGACATTTACATTTGCTGCTGAGAACTTAATGCCATTTTGGCACAGTCTGATATGAGCCATGCAATGCCTGACTCAAAACACACACAGTTTTTTGGCTTTGTTACCAATGAAAATCTTTGACTCTGCGTAGATTTTCCTGGTGTAGTCTGTCAAATGATGACCTTGGTCTTTTTTATGTTTTGAGCCCAACAGTCATACCAACTCTAAAATCAAAGCATGGTCAACTGCTTAGCTTCTAGCATGGTATAAGCAACATCTGTTAACTGAACTTTCATACATGGTAACCAAAAAGTTATCACAAAAAACATCAAATATGCTGAAAGCTAGATAAGACTGTCAATTCATTTGTAGTAATCCTATATGGTAGTAATCCTACATGGTAGTTATGACTGGCAACATGCAGTTAAGTAATATATTTATCAATAACTTTACTTACCAATTATAGTTGAAGGCTTAAGTATATTTACTGCATCTTCAAAAGTATCAGGCATGTTCTCTGGAGCTGAGTGAGCAAATGGTTCCTGATGACTATCTATTTTAGCTTTCCGCCCCTGAATTTTTAGATAAAGTACAGTATTTTTCAGTAACTGTATATTGAGAATTAAGTGAAAAGACATGATTATGAGTTACATATTGCTTCTACAATAGAAATGTCTTTTCATTTCCTTTTACATTCCTCTTTAAATTGTATCTTCCAATTCCATCTTCATAGCATCCATAAACTCAAATATAAAACATAAATCAAGTCCCATTATACCCAGAAAATGTTTAGTCCTTGTCAAAAATTCATTTGCTCTGTGAAGTCCTCCTAAATCCAATATGGCACAAAGGCCTACAATACTTATTTGGGCTAGATGAGTTTTTGAATTAAGAATTTTTCATCTTTTAGAAATGCAATATGGTAATATGTCAAATATTACAAATATACCTCCTCCCCCCAAATGAGCACCCCACATCTGAACAAACTAATGAATAATTACATCAAGAACAAAACATTAATACTACAAATATAGCCTTTCATTGCTTTTGGTCAGGTTTTGCTACCAGGTAAGTTCAGGTCAATCAGATTTGCCACCAAATGAATTTCAGAAAAAACTTTGGGATTTCAGAGCTTTTGGCATTTCAAAACTGCACACCAAACATCATGAACCTGTACTACAAAGAGTTTAGAAACGAGAGGAACAGGGAATTCTGGTTCAAGATGGCTGAATGAAGAAACATGCTTTCCTTTCTAAATCCCCAGGTCAAAACCATAGAAATAAAACCCTTGGTAATGTCACTGACAGGCTGGAACAATAAAGAAAATTTCTTGACTTAAAGCAGACAAAAACATACTGAATGAAAAAACCAAACAGGCTGGAGAAACTCATATTCTTATTTTGGTAAAAGAGAAGATCTCCCTTGCAAAAGTGAATTTTTCCATCTCAACTCCTGAATCACTTCTGATAAGAACCAGCAGAGGCTGGAAAAGCAGCACACCAACATCAACTGGCTGGGAGGTTAATTAAAGGACTGAAATACAGCCTCAACAGGCCTGGTTCTCAGAACAGTGGCTTCTTATACTTGCCCCTAGGATTACCAAAGCTCTCCCTTATGGGGATTCAATAGGAAACTCTCAAAATCCCAAAATAAAGGGCAGTGTTTGGAGTCCCCAGAAGAGATTGGAAGCCTAAAGTCCAAGGTCAAACTCCCTGCACATCCTAAAAGAAATATGTACTTTGAATCAGCATATGAACAGGGATTCTCACTAGTGTTAAGCAAACTCACTGTAGCTGCCAATACTATATTCATTCTAGACCTGACCTATCCATATGATAAAGAATCACAGACTCTCAACAAAATAGGTATAGAAGAAAAGTATCTCAACACAATAAAAGCCATCTACGACAAGCCCACTGCCAGTATATTCTGAATGGGGAAAAACTGAGGGCTTTTCCCTTAAGAACGGGAACAAGACAAGGATGCACCATTTCTATTTAACATAGTATTGGAGGTACTAACCAGAGCAATCAGGCAAGAGAAAGAAATAAAGGGAATCCAGATTGGAAAAGATGAAGTCAAACTGTCTCTAAAACTCTATCAAAAAACTCCTACAGCTGGTTCATAACTTCAGTAACATTGCAGGATACAAAATAAATGCCCCCAATTCAGTTGCATTTATATACTCAAATAATGAACTAACAGAAAGAGAAATAAAGTAAGCCCATTTACAATTGTCATGAAAAAAATAAAATACCAAGGGATCAACTTAACTAAGGAGATGAAAGACCCCTACAATGAGAACTACAAACCACTTCTGAAAGAAATTAAAGATGACACAAAAAGATGGAAAGATATTCCATGCTTTTGGATTGGAAGAATTAACATTGTGAAAATGTCTATACTGCCCAAAGCACTCTACAGATTCAATGCAATCCCCATCAAAATACCAATGACATTCTTCATAGAAATGGAAAAAACAATCTTAACTTTCATATGGAACAACAAAAGACCCCAAATAGCTAAAGCAATCCAGAGCAAAAAAAGGTAGTGTTATGCCTCCAGCTTTATTTGACTTCAAATTATACTACAAAGCTACTATAACCAAAACAGCATGGTACTGGCATAAAAATAGACACTCAGACCTGTGGAACAGAATTGAGAACCCAGAAATCACCCCTCAGGCATTGGACAAAGGCAACAAAAATCTACATTGGGGAAAAGACTGCCTCTTCAATAAGTGGTGCTGGGAAAATTGGATATCCATATGCAGAAGAATGAAACTAGATATGTACCTCTCACTATATAATAAAATCAACTCAAAATGGATTAAAGACTTAAGTATAAGACCTGAAACTGTAAAATCATTAAGGGAAAATATAGGTGAAACACTTCAGGAACTAGGTCTGGGTACAGACTTTATGAACATGACCCCAAAAACACAAGCAACAAAAGAAAAAATAAACAAAATGGGACTATATCAAACCAAAAAGCTTCTACACAGCAAAGGAAACAATCAACAGAGTGAAACAACAACCTACACAGTGGAAGAAAATTTTTGCTAACTATGCATGTGACAAGGGATTAATATCCATAAATATACAAGGAACTCAAGCAATTACACAGTAAAAAAACAAATAACCCAATTAAAAAATGGGCAAAGGAGCTGAATAGATATTTTTCAAAGGAAGACATACCAATGGCCAAGAGGTACATGAAAAAATGCTCAACATCACTAGTCATCAGAGAAAGGCAAATTAAAACCACATTGAGATACCACCTCACCCCAGTTAGACTGGCTATAATAAAAAAAAAATGGCAAATAACAAATGCTGGCAAGGGTGCAGAGAGAAGGGAACACTCCTGTACTGCTGGTGGGACTGTAAATTAGTACAACCACTATGGAAAACAGTATGGAGGTTTCTCAAACAATTACAGATAGATCTTCCACATGATCCAGCAATCCCACTTCCGGGTATATACCCAGAGGAATGGAAATCACCATGTCCAAGGGATACCTGCACTCTCATGTTCATCATTGTTCTGTTTACAATAGCCAAGATATGGAACCAACCTAAATGTCCATCAATGGATAACTGGATAGGGAAACTGTTATATATATACACCATGGAATACTACTCTGCCATAAAAAAGAATGAAATTCTTCCACTTGCAACAACATGGATGAGCTTGGAGAAACTTATGCTGAGTGAAATAAGCAAAGCACAGGGGGTTAAGTACCACATGTACTCACTCATAAGCGGGAGCTAAGAGAGAAAGAAGGAAGGAAAGAAAGACCACAGTGGTGCGTTGGACTTGCAAAGGGAGAGAACACACCTTGGGAACAAAGTGGAGTCGGGGGGAAAAGGAAAGGGGGAGGGAGGGTGGGGATAATTGGATGGGAGACATGCGGTACAATTGCAATTTGTAGTAATGAACATGCTGCCAGTATGGATCTGGCCTTCACATCTTGGGCACAAGGGGTGACAATCAGCTTTGTATCTCAAGAATATTAATAACCAATAAAAACAAAAAGGAAATTTTGACACACACACACACACAAAAAATCACAAAACATTTGATGAAAGTCAACACTGCAAAAAGCAGCATCAGACTAACTGTGTTCTAGGAAAAATATACATCCCCCAACGGCCTTCTAAAAACGAGATGTCTTAGAATCCTTGTCTTACATTCTGGCAAATATGGTAGTTGCAGCTCCTTTTGGAGACAATGCAGTTTAATGATTCGGAGCACAGGTTCTCATAGTTAGGCTACTTGGTTTGAATCATACCTCCAACACTCCTTTATAAACCTCAGTTTCCTCATCTGTAAAACTTCACAGGAGTTTTGAGAGGATTAAAGGAAATAACACCTATATAGTCTTATCACAATGTCTGGTACATTTTAAATTACTATTATTTTATTTTAAATTACATGTAATTTAAGCACTCAAGTTTTTCGCTCACACACTTCAGTTTTCCTTTTTATTTTCTGCACTACTAGAATACTGGTACTAATTAAGAAGAAAAGAAAAAAATCACAAAACATTTGATGAAAGTCAACACTGCAAAAAGCAGCATCAGACTAACTGTGTTCTAGGAAAAATATACATCCCCCAATGGCCTTCTAAAAACGAGATGTCTTAGAATCCTTGTCTTACATTCTGGCAAATATGGTAGTTGCAGCTCCTTTCGGAGACAATGCAGTTTAATGATTCGGAGCACAGGTTCTCATAGTTAGGCTACTTGGTTTGAATCCTACCTCCAACACTCCTTTATAAACCTCAGTTTCCTCATCTGTAAAACTTCACAGGAGTTTTNAGGGAAAATATAGGTGAAACACTTCAGGAACTAGGTCTGGGTACAGACTTTATGAACATGACCCCAAAAACACAAGCAACAAAAGAAAAAATAAACAAAATGGGACTATATCAAACCAAAAAGCTTCTACACAGCAAAGGAAACAATCAACAGAGTGAAACAACAACCTACACAGTGGAAGAAAATTTTTGCTAACTATGCATGTGACAAGGGATTAATATCCATAAATATACAAGGAACTCAAGCAATTACACAGTAAAAAAACAAATAACCCAATTAAAAAATGGGCAAAGGAGCTGAATAGATATTTTTCAAAGGAAGACATACCAATGGCCAAGAGGTACATGAAAAAATGCTCAACATCACTAGTCATCAGAGAAAGGCAAATTAAAACCACATTGAGATACCACCTCACCCCAGTTAGACTGGCTATAATAAAAAAAAAATGGCAAATAACAAATGCTGGCAAGGGTGCAGAGAGAAGGGAACACTCCTGTACTGCTGGTGGGACTGTAAATTAGTACAACCACTATGGAAAACAGTATGGAGGTTTCTCAAACAATTACAGATAGATCTTCCACATGATCCAGCAATCCCACTTCCGGGTATATACCCAGAGGAATGGAAATCACCATGTCCAAGGGATACCTGCACTCTCATGTTCATCATTGTTCTGTTTACAATAGCCAAGATATGGAACCAACCTAAATGTCCATCAATGGATAACTGGATAGGGAAACTGTTATATATATACACCATGGAATACTACTCTGCCATAAAAAAGAATGAAATTCTTCCACTTGCAACAACATGGATGAGCTTGGAGAAACTTATGCTGAGTGAAATAAGCAAAGCACAGGGGGTTAAGTACCACATGTACTCACTCATAAGCGGGAGCTAAGAGAGAAAGAAGGAAGGAAAGAAAGACCACAGTGGTGCGTTGGACTTGCAAAGGGAGAGAACACACCTTGGGAACAAAGTGGAGTCGGGGGGAAAAGGAAAGGGGGAGGGAGGGTGGGGATAATTGGATGGGAGACATGCGGTACAATTGCAATTTGTAGTAATGAACATGCTGCCAGTATGGATCTGGCCTTCAC